GGCTCAAGACCCAGCGATGATGCGAAGACTCGCGCTGCCCCGCGGCAGCGCAGGGCCATATACCGGAACGGCTCCTCTTGAGCCGAAACGGCTGGTTGCGGACCCCCTCCTCGTACTCCCCGCTCTTTCCCCTGGGCCGCGGAAGAAGTGAATGTTGGCGATATTGCAATCCTGCGTGGTCCACTCGGGCCTCTTCTGCCCCCCTTGCCCTGAACACGAAATTCTGGTGTGATGTGTGTGCAACCTGTGTGAACCAGACGATGTGGTGGAAACTACGTATGTCCAGCATCAGAAAACGTTACGCCCTCTTGGAGCTTAACTGGAGCTACCTGAAGCCCTCCTAGGCTGTTTTTCATGCCAGAGGACAGCCCCAAGAGGCCCAATAGGGAATAGGGCCCTCAAGAGGGCCCCCCAACTATATATCGTACCACGTGCTCTTGGTACGATATTGTTGAGCGCCTTCTCGCTCCCCTTTGGGGAACTCTTTGGGGCCCTTCTCTGAGCTTTCCTGGGGCTGTCTGGGGCTCTCTCGGGCAATCCCTGGGGCCATCGGAAAGTCCCCAGGAAGCCCCCGGAGCGGCCCACGACGGTCTCACACCACGGGCCGTTCGTATAGTGTCGCTACGGGCCATTATGGGCTCCTCTTGAAGGCCCTCTGGAACAATTCTTGGAGCTCTCTTGGAGTTGCCTTGGGCCACGCCGCGCCAGAGGCAAGAAGCTCCAAGGAGGCCCAAGAGGGCCCAGCCTGGCCCCCCAGAGGTCCCCCAACGACATCAGAACAGGGACCTTGCTACGAAACTATATCGGCCGCGGCCCTTCTTGGGGCCACTCACGGGAGCTCTTTTTCTGGGCCCCTCTTGGAGCTCTCGTGGAACTGTCAAGAGCCCCACTGGGTCGTTTTTGGGGCCAAAGGAAAATCCCAAGAAGGCCGAGGAAGGGCTTCGAGAAGGCCTTCGAGGCGATTCCCACCGATATCAGACCTCTGGGCTTTTGGAATGATACAGAAGGCCTGTTCCGGCCTCTCTTGGAAGCTTTGTTGCGCCCCTCTTGGGCCTGTCTTTCGGTTGCCTGTGGCCCTGCGGCGCCGTCTCTGGGTTCGGGCGTTTCGTGGGCGAGCACGCAGGATTTCGTAAGTTCGGCACCCTGGCGGCGAATCCCACCAGCCCTCTGGGCGTCGGTGGTTTAGGGCGTTTCCTCTTCAAAGCCATCCCTCTTCCCCTTCGGGGAGGGGTTTCTGTTCCCTATTGATAAACACCCCCTCCCCCAGGCGACTGGGGGCCAACCCGACTCCATGCCGACAACCCCCCACCATCCCTTGTAAAAAACACTACAAAACACACTCTGCCTCCAAGTTCGGAACATGCGCAGCCAACCCGATACGGCCCCCCCCACCATCCCTGTCAAAAAACAATACAGAGTACACTTGGCGGCGGCGGCGGCGGCGGCTGCGGCGGCGGTGGCGGCGGCTGCGGCGGCTGCGGCGGCGGCGGCGGCGGCGGGGGCGGCGGCTGCGGCGGCGGCTGCGGCTGCGGCTGCGGCGGCGGCGGTAGCGGTGGCGGCAGCGGCTGCGGCGGCGGCGGCGGTTTGGCAGCGGGGGGCGGCGGCGGCGGCGGCGGCGGCGGCGGCGGCGGGGGATTGGTCCCCAGTAGCTGCCCATCCAAAGACGACTGCTGAATATGCTGAGGTTCGGGCCAGACTCGGGTGCTACGTATGTGTTGGGAGGGCGGGTGGGAGTGAACGAGACGGCTTGCGGGCGGGGAGGGGGTCTTGACCCCTCACCCGACCCCCTCCCCGTGGACCTGGACGGGAGGGGCGGGGATGTGTCAGGGCGTCCGAAACGGCCTCGGCGAGGAAGCCCAAATCATTGATTTTATCATGGTTTTGGCCCCATTTTGGCCTCCAAACGGGGGGATGCTAATTAGTGTCCCCCCCCCCTCCTGTGATCGATCTCCTCCAAGATGGCCCCAAGAAGCGCCCAGGAGGCCCTAAGAGTGCCCCAAGAGGCCCCCCAGAGGCCCCCAGGAGGCCCCCAAAAGGATCCCAAGCGGCCCAAAGAGGCCCCCCCGAGGCACCCAAGACGCCGAAAAGCCCCTCAGGACGGCCCTCTACTCGCCTGGGCGTCGTTTCTGGATGGGCTTGTGGGGATACTTTTTGTCGCAACCGCAGGCGAGGGCGCCAGCGGCGAGTCAGGTCCGAGCGGGCCGCGCAAGGCTGGTGGGGATATATTTTTTGGGGTCGCGGCCGCGAGACGACGGTCAGGCGGCAAGAGCAAAGTCCCGGACGCGAGCTAAGCTAATTAGCTACAACAGGCACAGGCCGGCCGGCCCATTCACACAGCAGCCGCGAAGCTGAAAGGGGGAGCTGACGGCGGACGGCATCCTGAGAGCTCGAGCACGTGCACAGGACAAAATGTCTCGGAATTCGGTGCTTGCCATGGCGCGACCCACACAGTAGAGACGTAAACCAGGATGGTGAAGTCCGTCATGCTGGGCGATGGCAAGTGGGAGGCCATTGGAGTGAGTCGCCAGTGGGGCGCCAGGCTCCAAACGCCCTGACGACTTGAGCAAGCCAGAAAGGCTGAGCAGTCGTGAGCCGTGGTGCAACGCAACTGGGGAAAGTTGAAGGTGAGCCTGGAAGGCTGTACCTGCTGCGGAAGGCTGTGCCACTCCGTAACGAAGCCAGCCCCTGTCAGACCACCCCACAGCGCAAGGGGGAACCGAGCGACTGTGAGCCACGCAGCGCGTGCCGGCAATGCGAGGCCTCTGAGTGGGGGGGAACCAGCTGGCGTGGTCAGCATCGCCAGCGGGGAAGAGTAGAGGGAGCTGGGGTGGGGGGGGCAGCATATCGCCTGCCGCGCGCAAGGCCAACACCCCAACAAACCACCCCTTGCAACGAACAGTACAAAGTACATGCTGCGCTCGCTTTTGACAATGATGGCAAGGGTGCTGGTACGTTACCTGCTGTGTGCAGACCACCGAAACGCAACAACAAGCAGTGTGCGCGTGCGTGTGTGCCTGTGTGCGCCTGCGCTTCTACGCATCGCGGCCTAATTCGCGTGCGTTTGTCCCACCAACGCCCTATCTGCCAACGTTGATCTTTTGCCTGGCTGCCGACGTAAAAAGTGTGTGCGCGTGCGTGCGTACGTGAGCGTGGGCGTGAGCGTGTGAGCGTGTGAGCGTGTGAGCGTGTGTGAGCGTGTGTGAGCGTGTGTGTGCGTGTTTGTGATTGTGTTCGAGTTCGTGTGTGTGTGTGTGTTTGTGTGTGTGTGTGTCTGTGTGTCTGTGTGTGTGTCTGTGTGTGTGCGTGCGTGCGTGCGTGCGTGCGTGCGTGCGTGCGTGCGTGCGTGCGTGCGTGCGTGTGTGTGTGTGTGTGTGTGTGCGTGCGTGTGTGTGTGTGCGTGGGTGAATGCGTACGTGTGTGCGCGCGCGTGCGTGCGGGCGTGCGCGCGTGTGTGCGCGAGCGTTGCAACCGAGGCAAAGCCGACAGAAAGTATGGACCAACTGACAACGGGCTGCTCACAAAGGGCACGCAGGCCCAGGGCCGTGTCGGACCTACACGGCCGCGCCGGCCCTGTCGAGGATGGGCCGGGGGCCTCGCCTCGGGACAGAACGGACCTGCACGGCCACTCCTGCCCAGTTGGGGCCGTGCCCTTCCCCTGGGCCGACGGGGGGGGCCTTCGGGGCAGGGGGCCACGGGGGTGGGGCCGTGCGCCGCCCGAAGAGGGAGAGGGAGGGCCGAGGGGCGGGGCAAGCCACGCCGTGAGGGGGATCGTGATCGGGGGCAGCGGCCATGGCCCCACCGAAGCCGACCCCGCCACGAGGGCAGGGGGCTGGTCGCACCGCACAGCCCCGCCTCAAAGCGCAGCAGACCCCCCCCCCGCCGCGGAAGACCCCCCAGGCGACGGACAGCCCCCCAGGCGCCCCCCCCGCCCATAAGCCGGCGGCGCCATGCGAGCTGCCTGGGGCCACGAAACGTGTGAGGGGTGTGCCAAAGTGTGGCGGCGGCGCCATGCGAGCTGCGCCACTGGGGCCTTCGATGGAGCTCCCCATGGGGCCACGAAGCGTGTGAGGGGTGTGCCCAAGTGGGGTGGCGGCGCCATGCGAGCCGCGCCACTGGGACCTTAGTTCGAAATCCCGAAAGGGCCACGAAACGTGTGAGGGGTGTGCCAAAATGGGGCGGCGGCGCCATGCGAGCTGCGCCACTGGGACCTTAGGTGGAGCTCCCTATGGGGCCACAAAACGTGTGAGGGGTGTGCCCAAATGGGGCGGCGGCGCCATGCGAGCTGCGCCACTGTGACCTTAGGTGGAGCTCCCTTATGGGGCCACGAAACGCGAGAGGGGTGTGCTGACATGGGGCGGCGGCGCCATGCGAACTGCGCCACTGGGGCCTTAGGTGGAGCTTCCTATGGGGCCACGAAGCGTGTGAGGAGTATGCCACACTGGGGCGGTGCCGAAATCCATGATGGTGATGATGATGATGATGATGATGATGATGATGATGATGATGATGATGGTGCTGCTGCTGCTGCTGCTGCTGCTGCTGATGATGATGATGATGATGATGATGATGATGATGATGATGCTGATGCTGATGCTGATGCTGATGCTGATGCTGATGCTGATGCTGATGCTGCTGCAGGGAGGAGGGGGAGGAGGAGAGGAGAAGAAAAGGAACGCGGGGCACCGCCTCTTCAAAACGAAGACCCAACACCACAGGGCGGTTGGGAAAAATCCTCTGCACGCCTTGGACGGGGCTGCGCTTTCCTGGCGCTTTCTACGCCGGCTGGCTTCTCCCGCAACGCTGGGTGCAGTCCGCACCAACGCCTGGCGGGGGGGGGGCGGGAACCGATGCGAGAATCCCGCTCGGAACTCCGAAACCCTATGTTTCTGCCGTTAGCCGTTCCTCGAAGTCCGCACCGACATGACCCGCTTTAGCATGGGAGCCACAGATTCAGAAGGAAACGGGTCCTGGGCCCAATAGGACCACTCCTTCATCCTGAG